GGCAGAGAAAAAATTAGATCTGTTAAGGTTTAAAGTCAAATATAATCCAAATAAGGAGCCTCAAGGACGTTCCAACTTCTATAAGCGCGAGATACCATATTAACTGTAAATTTGCCAGCCCAAAATATAAACGTGACTTAACATCACACTATGGGTAGCCTAAAAAGCAACAAGAGACTTTCTCTACACAGATTAGCCCAACGAGTTTAAACTTGAATGCTCTAACAGTAATCGGAGAAGCTATGCATTTAAACTAGCACAGAATTATGACCAAATGGTGTATCTACTCTAAGGAGATATTCTGGGGCTAATATCATTGTAGTTGTTTGCTCATACAAGAAGCACCAGAAATCCGCGAGGCGAACACGAGGCACTCCCACATATAATCCAAACATAGGTCTTTGATCACTTTTACACCCGCACACTTTCTGCACTATGTCTGACAGGCATATATCCACATCTAACGCCTCCTTTTCCGAGAAATGTAAGTCCTTATACCACGTAATAACGCGTAGGTCGTGTGGTTAATCCAAAATAGTCAATTCACTCGATGCGGATATCACCTTCAGATCTTGTGATGATATTCTATTCAAAATCCATCGAAAAAACCTCGAGGTTTGCACCGGAGGATTTCCACCTTCAGGCTTCGACACTCTTGGCGAGATTGTCCCACTCACTGAATCGGCATCAACTCTCGAAATTTTATTTCAGTACATGTATCCCGTACCTCAACCAGATATCCGCTCTTTCCCATTCGTAACAATGGCAGCAGTCGCGGAAGCAGCTGAAAAGTATCAAGTATATCCAGCAATTTATATTTGTACAATTATCATGGAGTATGTGTTTTGTTGGGGAATCGGAGTACACCTTAATTAACGTTTGTAGAACAATTTTACCAGAAAATGCCCACCCAGTATTAATTCACGCAGGAAGACACAGCCACAAATCCCTTTTAGCGAAAGCTGCGCCATATATCATTGGAACTCCTTTAGATGAGATTATCTCGGAGCTTCCTAGAAATATAATCATCCCATGGGTACGTCGGATAATAGTTGTCTCTGCTCATTTATTTTGAAGACAACTCTGCCTGCGATCAAACAGATCAAATATCACATGGCATGGGAACACGTACTCCAGGAAGCTAGGGCGTACCCTGGAAGGAATGGATTCTATAGGCCACAAGATCTCATGAGCTACTTAATTAAATTAAATAACGTCGTGGCTTTAAAAGATTTGGGAACAGTATTTGGGGATATCAGTAGGACCGACGGGAATCCGCTCCCAACCTACCTCCGTACCTGGCGAAATGACATAGAATCAAGTATTCAGATGATACCCACCTTTGATACTTATTTGGACCCTTAGGAATTCAAATGTTTATTCGTTAGTTGAAATAAATGTGTTCCAGTTTCACAATTTATATTCAGGTATCAGTGAGACGGCCCTCGATAGAAGAAAGAAACTTATAAATAACTGACCTGATTTTTATTCGAACAAGGAGCTTCGAAAAAGGCCATCAAGCTTCAGGGTTAGGCACTGACTGAATATGAATTCCTTCCTCAGCCTAACAGAAGAAGAATTTGGAACCATTTAGGATACAATCCATACATATGACGACAATAATCAGAACGGAGACTCTTTTCAAGCTTTTATCAGAGTTGAGGTATCGCATCAAATTTTACCCGGTGTCAAGTCACTAGCCGCTTGGCGTCTCGTACAATCGTTTTGAGTCCGTTTATAAATGACCAGGCCATTGACATAGTGAAATAATCCCCGCTGACGAAAATTTCTCGCACTAGTAAACGGCCTAGCGGGTCGAAGACCTACGTTGGAAGAATGATCGCGTCCCCGAAATGGCCGAGAGTACAAGTAACAGGAAACCACTCTTCACACACGTCAGTTCACTGAACTCACACACTCCATAATTGGGGAAGCTAGTTGTTCCTCCAACCTGACACGGAGCTGCTGCCTAACTGTTGTTATAGATATATATAACGTTAGGGGGTTTCCCGAGTTAATGGTTCTAGGCAAGTGGCGTGATAAGCGCCCGAGGATCACCAGGTGAGCACGAGGCATTTATCATATCAAATCCAAACCCAGGGCTGTGTGGTCGCTTTTGACCCTTTCACACCTCCTCTATGATGTCTACCAGAAACGCAACTAATTCAAACACCTCGTTCTCTGAGAAATGCAAGTGTCTACGCTACATCTTAACATACAGCTCGAGTAACTGAACCCAACATAGTTAACTCAGCAGATGCGGATATCGTCTTCAAATCTTGTGATGATACTTTATTCAAAATCCATCGAAAGAATCTCGAAGTCTGCACTGGAGGCTTCCCTCCCTCAGGCTTTGACACACTTGGCGAGATTGTCCCTCTCACTGAATCTTCGTCGACTCTCGAACTCCTATTCCAATATATCTATCCCATGCCTCAACCTGACATCCGTTCTTTCTCTATCGAAGTAATCTCGGCTGTTGCAGAAGCAGCAGAGAAATATCGAGTTTATCCGGCAATTTTTAATTGCATGCTTATAATGGAGTATGCTTTAATTCTAGAATAAGCTATTGATATCGACCTGATCCCGGCTGTAGAATCATGCTACCAGAAAACGCACATCAGATATTTTTTCATGCAGGACGCCATGGCCACAAACCTCTTCTAGGGAAGGCTGCTCCATTTATTATCGGGACGCCTTTAGATGAAATTGTTTCTGAGCTTCCTGTAAATCTAGTTGTCCCTTGGGTACGTTTAAAATAACCCCAGCTTCTGTTTAAAAATATTGAAAGTCATCTACTAGATCAAATATAACATGACGTGGGATGAAGAACTCCGGAAGGCCAGGGTATACCCCCACAACAATCCTCTATACGGGTTTTCCAATATTCGAGATCGGTACCCACAAGATATCATGAACCACATTACAAAGTTAGAAGATGTTACGGTGTTAAAAGATTTAACAAAGGTATTTGGGGAAATTGCCAAGGCGGACACGAATCCTCTTCCGAGTTACCTGCGTCTTTGGCAAAACGCGATAAAATCAAATGTTCAGGAGATAAAGTCTTTTGATAAATACTTGGAGCCGTAGAAATCCGTAATGCACTTTTGGCGTGTCCTATTCGTTGAAAGATCAATTGACCACAGCTGAGGAGGTGAGATCTGGTAGGTCTACACACTGCCCTCCGTGAAGGCAGAAAAATGGTCCCCGGAAAAGAGCAGAAAGAAATATGCCCGAATTTTTAAATGACCTGACTATGATCCAAATCATCCAATTAGAAAATTTAGTGCAGAGTACAATACCATTATACCACCAGGTCATAGTAAAAAATATAGTCTAGTATAGATCAGTTTATTATAGTTAACGACCTATAAAAAATCAAGATAGAAGACGTACCATAACAGTGCAGACCACTGTAGACCCAGTTTTGGGGCATGATTTAGATTATAAACGAGGTAGGGGAACACGCTATAAGGGAGAAATAGCATATCCTATTTATGTTTATGGTAATCTAGCTTTGTAGAGTTTACTAACTTGTCAATAAGTTGGTCCAGGGAGGAGTTGTGTTTATGTCAATCGAAAGGTCAAACCGTCATCGCAGTCAGTCAAAGTGAAAACTTCCTGACGATCACGGCAAGTGCCGGTGCCAACAGAGCGGAGATTATAGTGGGCATAGCGACAGGATTCGTGGCGATGCGGACAGCGTGGGCAAACTGCAGTACATAGGTGGAAGAAACTCATACACACGCAAGTGGTGTGTATCAAGTACAAACTTACAGAAAGCTCACTCTCTGCCTTTACGCAGATCTACGTTTAGATTCTGGTCTATTTTCGCCGTCGTCGTGACTCCTATTACAGCTTCTTGTTATTGTTCACAGGCGATCACGAGCCTGACGGCTGTCTGAGGGACTTACAAAGGATTTACCAAATCCTATGAGTCGCATTGCATCTTAACCCAGTACCCCATACTACTCCGCGCAGCCGAAACGCTACTATGCCATGGGAGCAATGTTCCGAGCAATGTAAGCCTTCATAATGAAAACAACCCACATACGAGCTATATCAATAACACTATAGTCAATTCTACCGATGCGGATATCACCTTCAAATCTTGTGATAATGTTCTATTCAAGATCCATCAAAAGAACCTCGAAACCTCCACAGGCGGCTTCGCACCCGCGGGCTTCGAGACGCTTGATGAACTCGTCCCGCTCACCGAAACGTCATCTACACTCGAACTCCTGTTCCAGTACATCTATCCCATGCCCCAACCAGACATCCGATCTCTCCCCTTCGATACAGTCGCAGCAGTCGCAGAAGCAGCTGAGAAATATCAGGTATATGCCGCAATTTACAATTGTGCACTTGTTATGGAGTATGCATTTGATCTTTTGGCTACTAAAGATCGATGTGAATCCTAATTTTTGACTATAGAATGACACTTCCAGATTATGCACATACAATATTCATCCATGGAGGCCGACACGGCCACAAGTTTCTTTTGGGAAAAGCTGCACCATATCTTATTGGTATGCCTTTGGATGAGATGGTTTCGGAGCTTCCTGGGCATCTCATCGTCCCTTGGGTATGGTTCTCTTATCACCTCCATTCTGAATGATTGTGAAATACGTTCTCAACTAGATTAAATATCATATGACATGGCAAAATATACTTCACGAGGCCCGGTCGTACCCTTATAAAAACGACATCCAATTTTGGGAAAAATACCCTCAAATCGTCATGAAGCACATGTCCGAGTTGGAAGACGTCAAGGATCTAAAAGACCTAACGGCAGTATCTGAAAGAATAAAGATAGACGGTGGCTTTTCGATCTCGGCTTACCTCCTTTCCTGGAGAAATACGATAGAATCGAATATTGAGAGAATGAAGTCCTTTGATTGGACTCGTAACGACTTTTGAGGCTATTCCAATCATTTCTCTGTATTTTTTAAATTTATTTGAATAGGAATGGCGACGAAAACGAATTTACAACTCAATTATGACCTGGCCTTGATTTGAACAAGGAGCTCTGAAAGAGAGTTGCACATTCCGGAGTGTATGACCACTATACTACCCGGCCATAGCACAAGTTCAGTTCATCATACTCAAGGAATTACCAGATGACCAGCGTTCAAGGGAAGCAATGATACATCGATCCCATTTCAGAAAGTGCATGAGATTCGTTTTGAGCCGCAAGAGCACAGCGGAATTCTAACGGGTTCTACCCAGAATTTTAGTTAAGTGTAGGAAAATGCGTGAATGTACCCATACCTTGACAATCAAACCCTGTAGATCAAGCGATGGGTGATCCGCGATCTCCAAATCTCTGCATTAGAAGTGGAGAGAAAAATAGGTCTCGATGTACTTTCCTCAACCCGCGTTAATAGAAATCCTCCTGAACACACCACATAATATATATAGCGCGCGTAAACCTGGTATAGATGAAGAGGCGATCAAATACATGGCAAGCCATCGACTACGACCATCAGTTGTGCTCAGACGTAGTGAAACGAAACATCACGAAAATGCCTATTCATGGTGGGCGATGGTCCCTACGACCTGACAGCCACATGTTCAAACATCATAGAAGTCACAGAAGGCTGCACTTGTTCGATTCACATGTAACATCTTCAAGCGCGAAGCCTGATGTAGGGGCCCACCTCATGATCGATCGCACCTTCATCGTTGAAAGTTGTACAAAGAGACAAAAACTAGGACACACGTATATTTAGCGATAGCGGCCGCACACGTCTCAGTAGATGAACGGACTCACATGCTGATGTCGGAGCCGACTGAAAGGTTTACTACACTTCGGTGATACGTCGGTCGTCCGAGCTTCCGAGGCCTATATATACGTTTGTTGATGCACAGGTGCCGCGTGTAGATGCTTATGATATCGATGAGTTGGCAAGGCCCCTGCAGGTCACCACGTTTGATGGGGGCAGATCCAGACTTGGACGAAATTTTGAGGAAGCGAAAGTCATGTATGATGCCTTGATGACGGTAACGAATAGGGAAACGAGTCGTATTCAATAACCGATTGGTAAATCCACTGATATGTCAGGAAATTCACACTCCAGAGCCACTGGGTAAGCGAAGGATCCTGAATGACTTGAATAAAACGAAAATTCCAGAACTTCGGAAAACAAACGGGGAAAAATAGTCCTGTGACGTCATCCAGATTCCAGTACATGCCGCGGAGCAGACTTGAGAAAATTTGTACAGCCATCATTGGCACAACCAGACATCGATCCCAAAGTGACGATGATATACAGGTCGACATAGCAGTCTTGGCGACGAGAAAAGAATAACAAAAGTATGATGATCTTCAGACACCGTTGCTGCGGAATCGAGGTCGGATTTTGTTATATTCCGTGGATCATACATCAGGTCGATGTTGCGAGTTGTTCTTGATGATGTGAATGGTCCTTGAATTATTTTGGGAGCCGGGGGCTGAGGAACCCGATAACCGGTCTATATATTGGCAAGTCTTTCAGATGGTGGAAGAATATAAATTGGAGCCTTGAATCTGTCAAACCTGAGATTTCGGGGACGTAATACGAGAGGTTTGAGGATAGTAATGACGTTGGCTGGGGATTTAAATAAATGGGACGGTAAACGTAAGCAGCACCCCAAATTGTGTAAATCACGTCTTCGGAGTGGACATTCCGCCCGAAGAGTAGCTAGGTCGATATACTTGATAGTTCCGGCGAAAGAGCCATCCCGGAGCGGGCTGGAAAATATTTCGTCAGGATTAAACCGAGACGTGGCCATCTGTAACATGACTAAAGAGAAACATTTTGTGATTATAACCCCCTCGGCCAAAAGATCGTGAGTTGAGCGGCGGTGAAGGATGATAAAGAATTGGGCGTAACAGGGGTGGCGTTGTGATGCTCCATTCCAGTGCCCCCATTAGGAGAATCTCGACGACGTACATAATTCCAATAACAACAAAACACAGGTTCGGTGACCTAAGGTATGAATATTGAGTGACGTCAGACTGCGGAGGGCGGAGAGGCGGGAACAGCCACAGTTGGGGAAGATTTCCAATACATCGCGGGAACCATGACGACGGCGGGAAATTGCATACCTGTGCTCCTGATTTGGGTTATCTCGGGATATTATATTTAAATTTAAAAGCCGAAGGTCGGGTTTTAGTACATTCCATGGTCTACTGGGGACTGTCGGTGATTTGTGATCCTAGAACGGGGACCTCGAAATACTCAGACTAGTATGGGCTTGTCGGGTGATCTCAGTTGATGATGCCAGGGTGAACATGCTATTCAGGTTTAAAAGGGAGTGAGAGAATTAGCGACGCCAGACTGTAGAGTAGAGGAGCCATGGTCGAGAAGCATACGCAGGAGTCATGAATCGCGACGGGGACACCGTACTGATACCCCTAGTTATGGATATCTTGTATATTGCATTGGCTTTAAGAGTAGCACTCGGGCTTTGATACGTTTCGGGTTGATACCTGCGGTCAGTGACGAGAACAAGCAAACTGTCAGCGATTAAATCGTATAGTGACTAGGCGCAGATTATTGTATTTGAAAATAATTTTTGCTTCTTTGGAGTTGAGATAATATCGGATTGCAGAGAGGGCCCACTCTTGCGTTCCCCGTATGACTAGGTGCGGTTTCCGTAAAAAGAGAAAAAAACAATCTCGGGGGTGAGTTACCACATCGGTCCAAGTACCATAGACAGGGGGTGTCGACGAGGGAGAGGCTCGAGCGCCCCGACGCGGAATTAATATTTATGACTGGCCGAGCACCCAGGAACTGCAACTGATACCTGCTGATGAACCGCTTTGGCAAGTGACTCCTCCAGGCGCCTACAATCGACACAAGGGGCTTGAAGATGAAACAAAAGCATAGGCACCAGGATGTTATTACGATAGAAATGACTATTTTGAGCGACGTTCGGTGGACAGGTAGGGTCAGGGACCTTGTCTTGTGTGGGCACCACCGCGCCGTGTTTTGACAACCCAATAAGGCAGTGGTAGGGCGTATATTGAGAGCTCTATGTTATTGGTTTGGGCGACGTCGGAGCCGATGTCGATGTTGAGGAGTGGCATATGATGTAGCAGGGACTGTATACCGGACGTGGGCGTATCACTGTACATCGTATGATAGTTTATGAGTTTTCGATATAGGTAAAGTCAATAATTGCGGAAGGAAGAATTGTATTGACTAGGGATCCGGGGATAGCGATCGACAGGGACAGGGGTGGAGACGGGCGATGGGTGGGGGCAGATAGAATGGAAGGTGAACGACGCGAGACATAAGACGGAACAGTTCTGAGCGGGGGTACGAGAGGAGAAGTATGGGAAACCATGGTATCCAGCGCCATAAGGTATTAGCTTATTCTTAAAGTTCTCATAGGGGTGGGGAGTCGGAGGTTGGACACGGGCGAAGGCAGGTATAATGGAAGTCAAGCAATAAAGGCGATAGATTGGGGACGTAGGGCATCCGGTGCCGCGATAAATCAGCACCCACCCTCGAAGGTTCTCAGAGGGGTGGGGTGTCGCCGTCGGGGGAGGGTCAGTGCCGAAGGGCTCGAGGTATTAACGTGGACGAGTACACCCACTAAACGATAAGAGAAGGGACATAGAACGACGGTCAGGCTTCTAGCCCTGTGCCGACGAGTGAAGAAAGTAGGTCCGGGCGAGATTTCCCAGAATGGCGTTTGTTGGCCGTGGCGGGGCTACTTGAGCACCGGAAAGTAAATGAGGGGGAATTCGAAGCAGAGTGTTTTTGGGAACATGGTGTGGCCATGTGGTGTATGCGTGTGTGGTTTGTTAGTAAGCTTCCTCTGGGTGAAAGAAACGTGTATTGATATTTTTTTTTTTTTGCGAAACGTACTTCCAGTTCGGATCCGGTCGAGGTATTGGAATGGGGAGATTGGGGACCGGAGGTGGGTGGGTTTGGAAAAACTTGAGGCGAACCTGGGTTCATTTGGGAATAGTAGTTCATCCAAAAAATTCGTCTCCGGGAAATACGGCCGCAAACTAGTGTTTTTGATCGGGAACCCAGAAATCGAAGACGGCTGCAATGTCGAATCCTCTATCGTGTAAAAGAACTTGATGTTACTCTTTGTAATTCGTAGCTTCTGAGGTGGCTCTTGGTACTCGCAGGCAGGGAAAAAAAAATCCAGAACAACTCGAGGACGCATCGTGTTTCTTCTAAAGTAGCAACGAAAAAAAAAGTCAAAACAATCCACACAAAACATGATAACAAAAAAAAAAAAAATAGAAACGAGGTGGTAAACCAATATATCCCACCGCACGACCTCCTTTCTGTCCAACGGCATCGGCTACCCAAATCTAAAATGACAGTCGATCAACCCAAGCCCAGATCTCCAATCACATTATCTCTCACCCCCAATTTCAAGAAAAATGATCTCAACACTGCATTTCAACGTTACGAAGGTGGGGGCAGCGACGGCCGCGCGGGCTGGCGGGAGAGGCAAGCATGGGTTCCTGACAAGCGGTGCCTTCGGAATACACATAGCGGTGCAGCAGGGCTATGCAAGAGAAAGGTATTCCCACGCACAGACCGATGGGCGCTGACGGGGCTGGGATTGAAGCGGCGCTTTAAAAGGGGCATCATACTGGTTTGGGGGTTGAGCAGCCCCCCCCGCAACAAGCAACGCCCCAGCCAGCGGCCCAACTCACCAACTACCTCTTCTCCTCCCTGCTGCTACCCCCTCCTCCTCCCTCATGTCAGAAATCAGAAGGAAGCTCGTCATCGTCGGCGATGGTGCCTGTGGAAAGGTATGTGCCCCTCACCGTTGTCGCCTGCCCCAACCACACCCGGGCAGGCGGCCACTTCCTTTTTTCCGAGTGAGATGGGCGCTGACGGGCTTGTGGGTGTGTACAGACGTGCTTGTTAATCGTGTTCTCGAAGGGCACGTTCCCAGAGGTGAGCGGCGAGCTGCCGTCTTTTTTGTTGGTTGTTGTTGGTGTGCCTTTTGGGGGCTGACGATGTTTTGGGGTTAGGTTTATGTACCAACTGTGTTTGAGAACTATGTTGCGGACGTCGAGGTTGACGGAAAGCATGTTGAGCTGGCGCTATGGGATAC